GTGTAATGTAATTGTAAAATTTTAATTTATTATTTATCTGTTTAATAATAATGATTTGTAGAGACAGAAGCTTTAAATTTGTATTAAATTTATTAATATAATTTTTCACAATATAATTGAAAAAATAAAACTTTTTATAGAAGAATGTAATAAATTTTTTCCTATAATTTTTTAATAAATAATTATTTTTTTTCTAGCTCATTTCAAACCGTACACGAGCAATTCGAACAGTTCGAACTATTCAAACAATACAAATAATTCAAATTAAATTCAAACAAATCGAACCGAGCAAGAGCAGCTATTTCATGTATAGTTTTGAACGCGAGTCAATTTCAAACATATACAATTTCAAATGAACCAAACACAAACAGGAGCCTCTTCGCTCATGTTCGGTTAGTTTACACCCCTATATGCAACACACAATTTATAAATCAAATTCAAAATATAACGAAATTAATATATAAATTTTAAATTTTTTTTTTTGCAGAATTAATTAAGGGTGCATGTCGACCTACAATTTTTTTTTTTTCAATTTGTTAAGAGTAGTTTAATTGTATGCACAAAATTATAATTTTATTAGTTATTACTGAGTTTAGATTAGAGAGTTCACGTCTAAGCAGAAAAGGCTAGGAAAGTGTATATAATATGTGGCCCAAACTTTTTCCATGCAACACAGGAAACAAAATCTCTGCAAAATTTGCTAATAATTCCAAATATAACACTTTTCTACATAAAAAACTTCGTACGCAGCGTAATAATATATTTCCATAAATAGCTACATTTTTTTTTTTCTTGGCTAAAAAAGTTTCAACGTTAACCTTTACCAGTTCTGGATATGTGAATGTGATTGCAATTAGTAATGGAAAACAAATCAAAAACAAAAAATATGTCCAATTGAAAAAATATCATATCAGGAGTTCCGATACAAAATTATTTGGGTTCAGGACTTCAATCATAATGTGTCACGTGCATGATCCGACCTCATTGAATGCAAGAACATAAATAGTTTAATGTTTGATGGGTTCGGGTCGTACATGTGACGCATTGTGATTGAAATCTTGATACAGTTTTACATCAGAGCTCTTGATATAATATTTATTCGTGCAATTCCTTGAATTTTCTCATTTTTTTCATTACTATTTGATCGTTGTGCAGCAAGGAATTTGGTTATTACTATTATTATTATTACTATTACTATAAAATTTTTTTAATGTTAGAATAGAAAGTTGTTGTATGACATTAAAATTTAAGACAATGTATAAAATTGGAACATTTTATTCTAACAAATTAGTCAACAACTTGTCACCTACAGATACGCTGACTATAATTTGCATTGTATCCAAGCAAAACAATGTACTATCAAC